AGTGTATTCTTTGTTCTAGTCTTATACTTAAATTGAAGTATAAGCGTTCTTGTATTAAATATACATATATTTAAATAAAGTATACCGAAATTTCATACAAATATACAGAATACTTAAATCAAGTGGCAATATTCCGCTTTGAGTAAACAACTAGAGGTCTTTCATCTAAGTATTATTGTATATTTGATTTAAGTATACCAATTTTCTTTAAAATAAAATACCTTTAAACTCAATCCAAGAATACTCATCTCAAATCAAGTAACAGTTTTTCTTAAAAATTAAGTATATCCCATTACTTAGTTTAAATGTACGCTAATCTCATAGAAATAATAAATATACTTAAATCAAGTTCCTAACATGAAGTATAGAACTATTCTTAAACCTAGTAAGGGATTTTTTTCCGTGTAGAAAAATAGTATACACTACACGGGCAGAAAGTGTGAGAACCCTGCCATTTTAGTGTAATATCCCAGTAAACACAATTACGTAAATATTACATAAATATGACGTCATGTCAAGTCACGCTTACGTAAGATATAGGTCACACTTGAGTCATACAAGAGTCATTATTTCACACTTCCTTACGTCAGACTCTGACGTAATAAATATGACATAAATATGACGTAAACATCTTGATGTAACACTGACATCATACCATTACATAATATTTACGTAATAAATGTGACATAAATATGACCTTAGAATGACGAAGCCCCCTTCCTTATTTTTCATCATGGGGCAAAAATTTTGCCAAAAAATAAGTGATTACTGGAAACAGCTCACTAGGCTGAAATCAGTTCCCTCTTCCAAATGAGTAAATTGTGGGTTAGCGGAAGGCCACGGAAATTCCATGGCGATCCTGACGGAACATCCTGGCTCCAACAAAGAATTCCAGTGAAAAAGCTAAATTTTATCTTGGGCCACAATTCGTGACTCATTTATTTGCCGAGGTTCGGATTCCTAAATCTCAAATTGCAATGCAGCCAGTGTCAACTTATATACTTAACGAATAGTGCCACATAAGCGAGATGTATTATGCAATAGTGGTTGCCTATGATAAGTAGATTTCTACTATATTATAGTAGATACCTACTTATCATAGGCAACCTTTAATGCATATTGCAACTGTTAACAATTAATATATCAATGTTATTTGACAACTTTACCCTTATTTGTCTGAAACACAATAACCGGACCATATTATAATATTATTATAATAGTTATTTATGTATTAAGGGCATAATAAGGTTTTTATGGTCCGAGGCGCTATTTCGAGCCCGAGCGCGTTAGCGCGAGGGCTAGAAAAGCGTCGTAGGACCATAAAAACCAGTTATGCCAGCAATGCATACAAAACTTTATGCACGATTAATATAGGTATTATTATTTTTAATATATTATTGTTTTTAAAGACGTTTATGTCAAAGAATTTTTGTTATAATTGTCATATTATAATGTCAACTGACAACAGTCAGTTTTAAAGTTTAAAGATGAATGAAATTGAGGAAGCAGCTGAAAAGGCGAAAAATTGCGGCCTGCTGCCGGAAAAATCAAAATCTTTATATGAAAAAACTTACTTCGAATATATCAAATGGTGTAACATTGTTGTTTTTAATTTTTGACGTTTCATTATAGCCCGCTGGGCCATAATAACGCCCGCGGGCTATAAAAAGACGTTTACGTCAAAGAATTTTTGTTATAATTGTCATATTATAATGTCATCGTGCATAAAATTTGTTTATCAATGAAGAATTCTTTAATAGTTTACACGTAATAACACGTAAATCTTTTGTTGATATATAAAATTTAAAAAATAAGTAGATACTTGTATATATATATATATATATTATTTCGTCTGTACAGCCGACCGCCTAACCTACGCAACCGATTGAATCGTTTGAAAGTCGATCGTTTGAAAGACGATTGGACGAATTCGCGTCTAAAGACGATCGTCTTTAGACGATTTTTCCCCATGGTACCTCTGTATTTGTAAATTGAAATTTTAGTATGTTAAACAAGGCATTAAATATATAGGTACTACCAGAGACAAGGGTACTCTGGGTACTACTTTTTGACTTAAACCAATTTCTAAAATGGCGTCGTACTGTCAAAAGGTCACATTTTTTTCAATGGGAAATGGAATCATTATCGAAAAGGTATTTATTGCAAGCTGATACTTTATCTAATTTATGAAGCTGATCAAAACCAACTCACAATGGATTTTGAACCAACTACTAATTTTTCAGATTCTTTACAGGGGTATGTCAGAAATAAGAACAAAAAAATCGCTTTTTATGAGTAGCTATAGCTATAGGTAACATTTTTTGACATGCATGGATTAAAAAAAAAACAAATGACGTCGTACTGCCAAGGTCACATTTTTTTGAAGTGAGTGATATATCATTTCAGGTCTTTTAAAGCGTAAATAGTTATTTTTTCGATTGTACAGGGTGGAACAAAAAAATTCCACTTTCACCAAAAGCGCCATTTTCAAAAAATAATAACAGTAACATACAATACAAAAATAACACGTTAACACGTAATAACACGTAAATCTTTTGTTGATAATTTTTTACAATTTAAAAAATAAGTAGGTACTTGCAAGTACTTGCAACCATGATTATGAGTACCTACATGAGTTTTCACATGACCATTGAATAAAATGTGTAGGTACTTTTGAAAGTACGACGCTATTTTCAAAATTTTTTACGTCATAAAGCAGTAGGAACCGGAATCATAAAAATCTATATGATGTTTATTACATATTAAATTAAGATACATTATTTTTTGATTAATTTTAAAACATATTTTCATTTAATCGACCAAGTACTAAGTAGCCAAAAAATTCAAGGAACTTCGCGTTATTTCTTTCATCATGCTAGATGCAAAAGTAATTTCAAAATATGAAATTTTCTGTATTTTAATGTTTGAATTAAACTGATTGGTAAGGAAAAGTATCCACTGATTTTATTGTTTAAAATAATCAGCGTCAATTTCAATTAATAGAATTTACTTACGTTATTTTACTCAATGATTGGAATTAACCATTTCAATCAATAAAAAATAAAAATTATGTTTGCCTATTTCATTCATTGAAAATAAAAGTCCATTCATTGACAGATTTCTTATGTCAGTCTTACCTTACAAAGTGACCTTAAACTTATGTAATGGTATGACAGATTTCTTACGTCAGTCTTACGTAAGAAAGTGACCTAAAACGTATGTAATAGTATGACGTATTTCTTACGTCAGCCTTACGTAAGATAGTGACCTTAAACTTAGGTAATATTATGACAGATTTATTACGTCAGTCTTACGTAAGACAGTGACCTAAAACTTATGTAATATTATGACAGATTTCTTATGTCAGTCTTACGTAAAAAAGTGACTTTAATGTTACGTCACGATATGACTTTAATATTACATAAGATGTACGTAATATGTAAGTCATTTAATTACATCATATAAAAGTCACGTTTTGGGTCAGTATTATGTCACTATGACGTAAAAATTGTATTACCTAGATATGATCTACGTGTTACGTAAATTTTAGGTCATAAGTCACGGTTTGGTTCACTGGGATACTATTTATAAATATTATTCGTATAGATTATTTAAAGTAAACCCTCAACAAATAGGTCTCTTATTATTTTTAATAAACCTACTTGTTAAAATTATTTAAGCTTAATATTACATTAATGATAAATTTTAAGTTAATTAAAAAAAATCAATTTTATTGCAAAAAATATTTGTATTTATACTGGTTAAACCATTAAAAAAATAATGACATATTTTTTTTGAAAATAAAATGATCTACATAAAATGTATGATCATTGTCAATATTGTGTGACAAGTCTGATGGTTTTTTTTTTCGGGAAAGTAAGAAAAACATAAAATTTGCTATGAATTTGTCTTAAATATTTTTTTAACGAGTAGATTTATCATAAAATAATACGTAAACTTTATTGTGGAACGTTTAATTTAATTTAATTTAATTTAATTTAATTTTATAAAATAAAAGTTCTAATCATCCGGACTGAGATTTAAAAACACTCATCAAGTGACGTATTTAAGCCCCGCCCAACATGCGCACCATCCTATCTTAAGGTGTATCCTTTATAATCTGTGGGTGTATCATACATCAAAGAACTTTGTTAGCCCCAAGATACATACACCGTGTATGTATCTTGGGGCTAACATAACGCGGGCCATAAGGGGGACGACTGGGGACAAGCCGAACCGCCGGTCAACCGCCTATGCCGAGCGAAGGCCGACTGTTTGCCGAGTGTTTGGTCAGTTATCTCTGGTTTGGTGCTTACTGGGAATGAACTGTACCTATACGGTATAGGTACAGTTCATTCAAATAATACTATTATTTCTATGGTATAGGCTATACCATAGAAATAATAGTATTATTTCTATGGTATAGGTACAGTTATTAATAAAATTATTAAAACGAGTGTTAATAAATTTATATACTTAAGTATGCATCCAATAATTATAATAATAATAATAATAATAATAATATTTATTGATCACAGAGTTTTACAGCATTTAATTCCATAAAACATATTGGACAAGTCAAAAAATAATTACAAAATAAAGAAATTATGTTTAAAACTATGTAAGTACCTACCTATTACTAAATTTATTAAACATTAAATAAGTTAATTAAAAATTATCACTAAGAAACTCTTCCACAGAATAATATACTTTTTCTAAAAACAAAGTCTGCAATCTGCATTTTAACATTTTTGAACATTTACAACAAGACACAATAGACATTATCATAACATTTAATTCCCACATAAATAAAAGACGTTTGACATACAGAGAGCCTAGAAAATGGCAAAACTATATAACTTTTTATATTTTATTATATAGCGCGCGAAAATTCAAAGTAATCGTATTGATTTTGACAGCGCATCCGGTTTTGGCTTAGATCATTTTCCTTGTGGTGGCGTTCTTGTTCCGCGTAGTTTGTCAGCGTGTTTGCGTGTAAAATGGCTACGAATAATTATTTTGGATTTACACACGGAGGTACTCAATATAGGTAAGTAAAATTAGAATATATTTGTTGTGTATAAAATTGAGAATATTTTAATATAATTGTTAGATTGTTTATTTACCGCGCAATTTAAACAACAGTAATTATTTGTCAGTCAAAACCGGCGTCCTTGAGTAAATGGCGCCGGCATTTTGTGCGATCAATAAGTTCTTTCCTCCATTTAGGTGGGTAACGGATTCACTTCTTCCGTTAATTTTGCCGGCTTTTTAGTGATTTTGCATATTAGAATTGCTTTAAAAACCTTCAATCTTATCATATTAAGCAGTTTTAATTGATGGGGTTAGTGCAAAAGGTGGCTTAGACACATTTGATTTTAGTGCTACAGCTACCGGAGCTGCATATCAGGCCGGACAAGCAGGTTATGCTGTAGCTGCCCCTGCAACCGCCGCCGCGGCCACATACGGAACACAAAGGGCCCCGGGATACGATACCGCCTACCAGGCGGCCGCAGCCTCCCAAGGAACCTATGCTGCTGTCGGAACCGGCGCCACACCGGCTTACGAATACGGTTACGGTAAGTTTTTACTTTCTGTTATCTGCCTCCTTTATTAAATTATCCACTTGAATCTTGATGTGTTTGGTATGTGTGAACAATAACATTCTAGTATACAAACTCAAAAAAAGACATGTTGTATTTTATAAAATGGATCTCCAAGGCCAAGTTGTACAATTTTATCTACTCTAGATTTAAACCGAGTTTTAATAATTGTAACTTAGCAACTAAGTAGCAGTTAAAGTTTATATGCAAATAAAATTATTAGTTGTACAATTCAAGTTTAGCTTATTCTGACCTGCACAGTAAAAAAAGATCACAGAAAATTACGTTGGCCACATAGTAACCAATGTAATATTCTGTAAAATATTTTACGTAAAAGATTATGAAATATCACAGAATATTTTCTGCAAAGTAAATGTACCAAAAATAATCTGTAATATACACAGTAAAAAATAATGGTAAAATTACGGATAAAAATATGTAATATATTTACATAAAATATATGGTGTTTCAAATATATTTGGTAAAATTACGGATAAAAATATTTAATATTTACATAAAAAATATGGTGTTTCAAATAAACTCATAAATTATTATGGTTATTGAGTGATTTTACTGAATATATTCTGTAAAGGTAAATATTTTACAGAATAAAACGTTGGCTATTCTGTGGCCAACGTAATATTCTGTAATTTTTTTTACTGTGCAAACGCATAAATTATTATGGTTATTAAGTGATTTTACTGAATATATTCTGTAAAAGGTAAATATTTTACAGAATATTACGTTGGTTACTATGTGGCCAACGTAATATTTTGTAATGTTTTTTACTGTGTATATTATATAATTTTCAATTAATACAGTATTTATTCTGTACATTTTTCTGAAAAAAATTGTAGATCACATTTTAATTTATGTAATATGCGCAGAATATATAGTTAATTCTTAACTCATACAATATTTATTCTGTTAATTGTACAGAATACATTGTGTCAAAATACATTTTATATGATGTAATATTACAGAAGTATTTGGAATATAGTTTTTTTAATTTTCGCTGAAGATCCAGTGAAATTTCCCTTTTTTCTGATACTCTTCACTTATGCTCTGCTGTAAATTCACTGCTAACTGCTTCAAAATATACATCTTCTTTTTACTTTGTTGTCATTTCCCATGTATACATAATACTTGGAGTTTATTTCGGCAATATTAAGCATTGCAAAAAAACTGTAAGTGGCCAACAACGAGTATTTCTTTGAACATAAAAAGATGCACACATTTTGTCCCCTGATTTGGTTGAATTATAAAGTGATAATATCAGGTTTTGAAACATATGACATGATTGGAGCGTCTTTCTGAAAACCAAATGTATTTGTTTGTTCTGATCTATTTTTGGTTGCTACAAACTTTAGATTGTAGATACATTGTTATATATATGTTTGAATTTTATTTATATAAAACCTACACCAAAACATTTAACTATCGATACACCTTTATAATGTAAAGATTGCATCAACTTTAAAAGAGGTTATGTCCCCCTATGAGTTTACTGTACTTAATATTTTGTGTAAACCACATAAAATATTATGTAAATTTAAAATAACATTTTATTTCATATATACTTGCATATTATTTTTGGTAAAGATTTTTTAAATCTGTATTCAATAAAAAGTTTTGTAACATTTAGCTAATACACAATAAAGTTCCATAAATTATAGTTTAAACATTCCATATTTTTATGGGTAATTTTACCGAAATTTTTTACTGTGTGCAAACCCCATTATGTATAATATTAAGTAATACCTAAATCATAAAAGATTATTTTAATTGTTAACAATAATATATTTATTTTGTCCTTATTACTTAATATTGCAGATACAGGGGTTTAACTGAACACAGTGTCAGTGTGTTTACTGTGGATGCTTTGAAGGATAAACGTAGGTGCATCATTAATACAGGCAATGATTAATACATTCAATGTTTTGATTTGTTAAGCCCGTATTACAGCCTGCAATTCTACGTGCAATAATCTTGCACGAAGGTATGCGCATACAGACGTTCCGTGCAAGTTTATTGCCGTTTCAAACTATCGGTCCTGCTCGATTTTTATTGCCAGGTCGCAGGGTTCGACCGATATATATACAACTGTACAATTAAATATTTAACAGCTTTTTTTCAAAGGTGATCTCACAACTCACACAACAAGGTCTGTTCTTTAGCTTAAAAATTTAAACCAAAGTCGGTGCAGTTGGCGCACCTACGTCATCAAACACTCTTGCCGCCATCTTGTCGCGGGTAATTTAAATTCCCCGAAATAGAAGTTTGATACCGGCGCGGTCCAGCCGTTATCTTTCTGCGGGTGGTTTAAATTGTTAAAAATATGTAATGTATAAATATGTAAAAAAATATAACCTCTGTCAAAATTAAAAATATATTTTTATGTATTTTACCAGTTAATTTAAACTTAAGGTTTTTACTAATAACTGGTTCAAACACCCAACAACGTTTATAAATTTGTATTAAGGCAAATAAGGCACAAAATCAAAATCTACACGCTTGAAACACGAGGAACGTAAACAAACAATATGGCGGCAAGTATTTGGTGATTTTTAGTCTTCGCGAACTGCTAAAGAACAGACCTTGTTGTGTGGGTTGTTAGTGATCTATTATAACATTTTAAAAAAGTATATAATTTTCTTAATAGATGGCGCTACTACTGTCTTCAATTTAGAGTCTTTATTTCCATTCTACGAACTTAATGAATATTTGTCGATTTTATTAAACACAAAATTTACAGTTAATAATTTAAAAATGTGATTTTTTTTAAATTTAAAATTTGTTTCATTTGTTCGTTTAATCCTGCGCATTGTCTAAAAGACGACCGTAGCCCTATCTATTGTCACAATTGTATACTGTCCGCGAAATCGTCGTTTTATTGTGTTAGTTTTATATTCTTAATCCATGGCTGTGTTATAATTGCAGTGATAAAAGTAATAAAATTAAAATGCCAAAGAAAAATATATAATGATAAACCTTTAATTAATATTTTTTTAAATTAAAATTTCATGTTATAATTTTTTTGTTAAGAATTTATGTTTTGTTTTGTATACTTTTTTAATAAACAAAAGCTCAAAAGTTAGAGAATAAAAAACTCTATTTAAGCTATAAAAAATATTTTCAATGTCATTTGACAGATGCCTAATATAACATTTTTTCTGTCAAAATTTGGGAAAAATTATTAGGGTGTTTTTTTCGAAAAAAAAATAAGTATGCCACTGAATGCGGAATGCTTCAAAATGGGTACAAACCAAATTTCATTAAAAACGAACAATTAATAACCATGTATTTTAAACAAGTTTTTTTTATATTTAAAACGAGAAATAAAACAAATTTAGGATGTTTAGGAGAAAAGTAAGTACGCCACTGAAAGCGGCATAGCTTAGAATGGGTACAAACTTAATTTCATCAAAAAGTAACCATTAAAAATTATTTCAGACAAGTTCATTTTACCACGTTATAAGCATAAATTTTTAGCATGGCTATCTTAGTTTTTTGTTTTTTGTCAATTTTTGTTTATAACGTATTAAAATAAACTTGTCTGAAATAGTTATTAATAGTAATGAAATTAAGTTTGTACCCATTTTGAAGTATGCCGCGTTCAGTGGCGTACTTAGTTTCTCCTAAACCTTCTAAATGTGTTTAAAAAAAAGCTTGTCTAAAATAGTTATTAATTGTTCGTTTTTAGTTAAATTTGTTTTCTACCCATTTTTAAGCATGTCGCATTCTGTGGGGTACTTATTTTTTCGAAAAAACGACCCTAATAATTGTTTTCGAATTTTGACATTGAAAAAATGTTATACCTAGTAGGCATTTGTCAAGTGACATTGAAATAGGGATGTAAGCAAATTTTTATGACAATGTCATGTCACAGTCTTAATGAAAATGACACCCCTGTCATTAATTTTTTACAATTATAATTTCTGACTGTCAAAAAAATAACTGACGTCATTAAAATATATGATGGTCACAAAAATATCAGCTGACTTTCGATTCCACCCGCCTGGCGCATGTCTGGCTTGCGATCCACCGACGTGAACACAAAAAAACCTTAGGTCGATGCCGCCCCAAGCCAGGAGATGGAAGCTGCATTTTTTAAGTCATTAGATGACTTTGATGTCGATAACTATAAATCTGACAAAAAAATTTGATTATAACTGTTTTTAAACCAGTTAAATATCTTTATTTTCTTTTTGTTTAAATTTTGTTTTTTTTTTTCAAATACATTTATGTTTAAGTTGTCTATTAATGTTTTAGTCACTTGCCACTTGTCCGATGCTTTTATATCTATAGATAAACATTAATGATAAGGAAATAAAAATGACATGTCACGTGTCACATAAATAAATTACCGTCATTTTACATCCCTACATTGAAATTATTCTTATAGCTTAGATAGAGTTTATTTATTTATTTTCTATCTTTTGACCCTTCGTTTATTAAAATCGAGTAACAAATAAAAAGGTTATGGGGGTGTTTCAATCTTAAATGGGCCACACTGTATATCGATATATATCCGATATTTATAAAAATATCATATTTTCGAACCCTGCCAGTTCGGTTGGTATGATCCAAGTTGAAATTGGAATTGGGTGTTTTACTGTCATGAATAAAACTTGCATGCAAGAAAGTTGCTGCAAGTAATTGCAGACTGTAATATGGACTGTAACCAAACTTTAGTAGGATCTTGAAACTTTTTAATTAATTTTTCTCGTAATTTAAAAAATGTGTGAAAGGTTGATTTTTCCTGTAGTCTTTATATTTTAAAAGAAAATTACACATTTACAATATATTTATAATATTATTAATATAAAAGTATATGAATATATTTATAACATCCATAACATAAAAAAGGCTACAATAAATTAAAAGCAACTAAATAATTTGTTTACCATGTTAGAGATAATTATGTTTTTAGAAATAATTTATTTTTGTTTATCTTTAAGCATTCTAAAATTTAAGCTTTATTATTGTCAATGCTCACACCAAAGTAATTGATTATCTCCTAGGCTGTAAAAAACCTGTTCGGACCAATAAAAAAGACTTCTTCTGATTCCAGAACACAATTTCCTGTGTCCATATTTATGGCCTTTAGCTTAGTTAAATGCTATTTGGCCAGCACATTATGATTTCAATTTCCTCAAAGTTTATGCGACTTAATTAAAAGTATCTGACTTGACTTATTCCTTGATTCAATTATTTTTATACTCATTTTGTTCTTGTTTTTTGTTTTGTTTTTTTGGTATTGCTAAAATGTGCCTTATTAGTACAAAGGTATGTAAGACTTTCCACTCTTAAGGGCAGTGGCCAAGCGACTTTCACAATCCAATAGATGCCACCTCAGTTTTGGAACCCAGGATGTGTTATTGGAAGGATCTGTGAATAATAAAAGAGCATTATGATATTATTTTGTGATAGTATATAATTTTAAGTATTTTGAAAGTGTTGCAATTTAAGTTTCTCAGAATAAGTTGTAGGTTTATTGGTAATTCTAATCCATTTTGTCCCAGTTCAAAATATGTGTTGTGTATGTGTTAGGTCGCCTACCTGTCCCCATTCTCAGTAGGGATTTTCCAGTATATAATAACTGCTGACAACTCCTCACTTTATACTTTTAATAATTGTTATTTTAATTGCAAGTACGTTTTATGTATTGTTTACCAAATAAAACTGTGCCTTGGACGCATAATATCCGTACGTATTATGGTCCGTAAAAATGTTTTTCGCCGGCACAATTTTTTTCTACGTCGTAGGATCATAAAAACCAGTTATGCCAGCAATGCATACAAAACTTTATGCACGATTAATATATTATTATTTTTAATATATTATTGTCGTTTACGTCAAAGAATTTTTGTTATAATTATCATATTATAATGTCAACTGACATCAGTCAGTTTAAAGTTTAAAGATGAATGAAATTGAGGAAGCAGCTGAAAAGGCGAAAAATTGCGGCCTGCTGCCGGAAAAATCAAAATCTTTATACGAAAAAACTTACTTCGAATATATCAAATGGTGTAACATTGTTGTTTTTAATTTTTGACGTTTCATTATAGCCCGCTGGGTCATAATAACGCCCGCGGGCTATAAAAAGACGTTTACGTCAAAGAATTTTTGTTATAATTGTCATATTATAATGTCATCGTGCATAAAATATGATATAATTATGTGCAACTTTTTCAAAATATGAGATGCTTTTAAAAAACTTTAATCCGATGTTCCACAAATCCACATCTTCATGAATTAATAGGCGGTTTACAGTTCTTTTGGCTGTTTGAAAGGAAACCAAAATATCTGCAAAAGTTATTTTTTGACCGAAAAAATAAAACAGACTTGTTGCAACTATATTTAGTGGAATGTCTTGAGGATATTTATCCAAAACAAGAATGGAAGTGCACTTCTATTAATATCAGCTGTGCTGACCTCAGCACAAAATGACTGACTTCTTGGCCTAATAACTATTATTATTATTAAAAATCAATTCTTGATCACTATGTTTATAATAGTAACCATAACAACAGCAGCTTAGATAAATGCGCCTTTAATAGTATATTCAGGGTTCGAAAATATCATGATATTTATATAAATATCAAAATATCGGATATATATTGATATATATCAACATCTTGATAATTATTTTTTTTATTTATTTCTTATATGGTTTTGGTCAAAAATTAATTATATTAGCGAGAATAAAAATGTTTTTAATACATTTATTTAAAAAATTAAACAAAACACTTATAAAACAAAAAATAAATTCTTAACAAAAAAATTATAACATTAAATTTTAATTTAAAACATTTTTAAATAAAGGTTCATCATCATATCTTTTTTTCCTTTAAGATTAAGAATATAAAACGACGATTTCGCGGTCAGTATACAATTGTGACAATACGGTCGTCTTTTAGACAATGCGCAAGATTAAACGAACGAATTAAACAAATTTTAAATTTAAAAAAATCACATTTTTAAATTATTATTAGATTCTTTCTTTTATACTATAGAAGACAAATTTAATTCAGCTGCACTATTTATGGCTATAAAGCCCTTGACTTCATATGGTTGCTAAAAAAGTTGGTAAAATTGGTTATCTATACAGGAATTTCTTACATAAAATAACAAGTGAAAATTGGCAATACGTTTTACCATTTTTTCACCAGAGCAAGAAGTGCCATTATTACTGCACTTATATAATCTATTTTGTTCTGACAAGTACAATTTTAACCATCTATGCATAAACGACTAAAGCTGTATTCTTCAATTTGTTGACAACACATTTTTGATAACTTATGGGAAAAAGGATAATAGAAGCAAGTGTAAATACTACCAAGTCAATCAAAATCACACGTTTTACTTTGTTGATTGTTTCGACCTTTACTTAATGAAACTCCAAATAGTGAAACTTTCAAACAGTTGTTTTTATTTATATATTAACACTTTTTACTGTTCCATCGCGAAACAAAAGCAAATTTGACCAAAAAAAACATTATGTAAAGTACCCACAGCAAATAACCTGGGATTTATTATAGACACCAAATTCAAACAACACATAAGTCATACCAAGGTAATAAATATTATTACTGCTACTAATATTTATTAACTCGTATGTCGCCTAAAATATGTGTACTTTTTCAAAATTGTAAAAAACCCACCCTTTTGAACATCGAGATAGGCGATCGCACAAGCCATAAATACCAAAATTCTTTATTTAACTCATCTAATGAATCCCTTTACCACATCACTAGAATCCAACCCAAACAAGAAAGACTGAAATACACTACGCAAAAATTTGCAAACAAACCTGAAAATTGTGATAAAACAATATCAAGGTGAAAACACCTAGAGATGTGGTAACGTTCGAAATACGGATTTGGACTAGATTTTATTATAGTGTTTGAATGGCAAAAAACTCGCCTGATTAATCAACTTGGGAAAATTTTTGAATATTGGGTTAATAACATACATTGTAGTTTCATGATCGATACACCCTTTTTGTGCCCCTGAAACCATTGATAAATAGTTAAATAGATGTACAACATAACAGTCTCATCGAAAAAAAAATACAGTTGAAAGCCTAGTTTTTCACAATAGAACGACAATAAACAAAACTACATCGACGCAAAAGCCACGACATTTTGACCATAAAACAACTACTCTTAGTCAATATTCATTTACCATCTGTACTAAACAAACTAATCATTCACCGCGAAAAAACTTCGATTGAAGGTAAAGAAAATCAACCGTGCCGAATATATATGAAAGTTTGTTTCATTCTCAGGAATATCCCGTTTTATTTATAAAAAAATCATGAAAATATGTAATGTGTAAATTTTGTATTCATTATTTCCACGTTTACTTCGATTTTAATTTGACTATTTTATTAAAAATAGGTCAAACTGCTTCAGCTGGTTACGCTGGTGGATACGATCAAACTGCATCAGCAGCCAAACCAGCTACTTATGCAACAACTTACACCCAAAGAGCAACAGGACAACAAGCTCAAGCAGCGGTAATATTTTGATATAAAAAAGTTTAAAATTAATTAATAAATAAAATTATTTTAGACTGCAGCAGCTAAGCCTGCACAATATACAGGCACTTATCAGGCTAACGCAACTGGCTACCAGGCCACATATGCTCAGCCAGCTGCACAGACCACAATAGCTGCGCAACCTACCACACAGGCAAAACGTGAGTTACCAATGTTTGTTGTTTTTGGTATGCTTTGGAAATTATGTCCAAAACTCCTGCCAAACTTGTCAAAATCACCTCATGCAAAAGGTCTTTAAGAAGTTTTTCAAATGATACAACAATATGTGTCAAATTTTGTGGAGTCAACATTTTGCCTTTGAAATATAAAAAAAATAATTTTGTAGAAGCTACTTTGCATGAGGTGGTTTTCATATTTGAAACGGCATTAAATAGTATTTCTATTTGAAATGCAAGTTTGGCAGGAGAGACATGAAGTGGCAAAAAATGTTAATTTGTTAAAAGTACCTATTATAGAATTTTGATGTATACATAGATTTGGTAAATTATGTTTACACACCTGAATTAATTTACATTTATTACACTGAATTGATTGAAGTTTTGTAAAAGTAATTTTCTTTGTTCCCGGCGAATTGACAACAAAATTATCAAATTAAAAAAATAACACTAAATGTTATTTCATAGATGACTTGATGATGATTTTAAACCGTGAATTTCGGCCAAAATATACAATTTATGAGAAAAATTATGAGTACACCTTAACTTTATTTATTGCAATGACGATTCTTATTAAACATACTAATACCTTAAAAATCTTATAGATTTTTTTTGATAATTATATTTCTGCAAGGAGAATTCCAGCAACAGCTTAAATCTGTTGACTGTTCAGACACCATGCTATATAAAATGGAATAAAGCATCTTATCAAAATTTTGCTTTTTATAATCTTGAATTTAAAATGCTTTATTCAACATTTCATTTAATAAAAATCATTAGCATAAATTTTAAAACCCAACAAGCATGCCCAGTTTTAATATAAAATTAATTACTAAAAAAAACAATCAAGTGTTCGATTTCCTCCCACTAATACCTCATTAACATCCTTACCAATTAATGGTTTCTCCTTAGAAGCTAATTCGGCAACAACCTATTCAGGATACGACGCCGCCCTATACTCTGCGGCTACTATGTACGTTGCCCAACAATCTGGCGGAGCCACACAACAGAAAGCCGGCTGGCAAGGATACAAAAAAGGAGGAATTGGAGCCAAGAACATGAGGACCAAAGCTCCACCCAAACCTCAACAGCTGCACTACTGTGATGTTTGCAAAATCAGGTATGTTATAGATACTTTTGATTCATAAATCAATAAAATCAAGATTTATATATCATGTCCAATTATCTTTTTTGTTTTTTAATGGAACAAATTCTTTGGTCAACATCTTTTTTGGTTATGTGACACGATTTTTCTTGTTATTGTGTCGTTCATGTTACTACTAACACCTGAAAATAGCCTAATGCTTGACATTATTATTAAGTAGTGATGATAAATGTTTTCAATTAGGCTCAAATTAATTTTCGGAATTATTTGCAGGTTTGCTGTACTTTTATGAGCAAACCTAAAAAAAAATTCTGTACAATTCCTTTTAATCTCTGGATTAATTAATGTTTTAAATTTATTTTATGCTTTATTAAGAAATTTAAAAAACTCTTCATAGAATCTGTCAAAACGATATTTTCAATTTGTTGCACTTAAAAATACAAACACAAGCACATAATTGTTCCATATTATATTCAAAAACGTTAACAAAATTATCACAAGGTGATTTTACAAATGGTCATATTTTTAATTGTGGTGCTATACCATTTTTTTTTGTTATAGCTGTGCTGGTCCCCAAACCTACAGGGAGCATTTAGAAGGACAAAAACATAAGAAGAGAGAAGCTGCGACCAAGATGGCCGCCTCAGTGGCTACTACAAGCCAAAATCGTGCTGGAAATTCCTTGAGATGTCAATTGTGCGATGTGACATGTACTGGTATGTATTTGCAATTATTTTTATTTATATATCAAATAAAATATTTGCAAGGAGAATTCCAGTAACAGCCTTAATCTGTTAACTGTCCAGACACCATGCTAAATTATATGGAATCAAGAATCTTTTTATACTTTTTTATTTTTAAAATTTTAAATCAAGAATTCTTATTCAACATTCAATTTCATTACATTAAATTTTAAAAGTTTTAGATTATGATAAAACCAAACTAAAATAGTTTAATCATTTAATTTAATTTTATCATAAAACTTTAATTCAAGGAATTAGCGTTGATTTATGATTACACTGGTCAACCAAATAAACTTTTTTGTTTGATACAGGGGGCCAACAACTTTGCCAGAGTAATTTGGGTGACCATAATTTTGCTCAATTAGCCTTTGTTTTAGAGATAGGTATTGTAAACAAACTTTTTTTCGATATGCAAACATTCAAATTCATATGTATATATTTTTTAAATCAAATACTTTATTCAAGAATCATTGCTCATGTAGCAAGGAGTACTAATTAAACTTAATAAATTATACACATTCATTAAGTAAGTCCATTAAAAAACATTTTAAACAAAATAAAATCTCTTTCGGCAAAAATTCGACTATGTTCAGTTCAAAGTGTTGTTACGCAAACAATTATTACATCTATTATCCGATTTTAATAAAAATTTTAAAATTGTGTAGCTTAATTATCTACTTGATTGTGTTAAAATTTCAACGCAATCAAATAAAAATTGACAAAATGGCACTCAAAACAACCGCGCGTATTAAAACTTGTATATAAGATGAAAATAAATTAAAAAATAAAGTTTTTCTCAAATATCTTGAAAGGGAACCAACCGACTTTATAAACTAATACACCAAAATATAGGTATTTAAAAGGCCTTCCACTTGACCCCTCTTTCTTAAAAATTGTAGTCTGCTTAGGGGTTGATGTAGGGTTAAAAATAAAAAAATAAATTGTCTCCTTAGAAATAAAAATAGATGTGAATGAGCGTTTTTAATTTATTTTTATTCGCCTGAGAAAACCAGGGTAAAAACTTTCCATTGGTCCACCCTGCTTGAATTGGTACATAATTTTCATTACTTTCTCTAACAGTTTAATATGTCAGATGATAAATCAACATGTAGGAAGTTGACTGTAATACCACTTTATGCTGTGATAAAACCAAAAATAATCATGATCTAACTGTACCTACCACAATTCGTACTACTGTTGTTGGGTGTTACTTTTGTTGACAATATGTTTTCTTAGGAATTCTCATGACAAGTGAACTTAAGACAAGCGAAAATGATTGATTTAAGTGAAATTTTGTCAATTTTTATTTGATTGCGTTAAAATTTTAACACAATATAAAATACAAATGAAACTACAAACATTTTTACATTTTTTTAAAATCAAAAAAATTATTTGCAAAACAGAATTTTAAAAGTTTTCGAATTTTTACTAATAATAATAACTTTATAAATCTGTGTAATTTACTTGTTTTAGTATTAGTATTCATAGCTTCATGACTAGGGATGGGATTTAAGTTATTTTACCTTTTTTCAACCGATGTAACTATTTGAAAACCAATAATGCCAAAGTGTGTTTTAAAAGATTTTCTTTTATATGAACCTAACTTTTCTTACCTATTTTTTTAACTAGTTATCACCTTTTTTTTTCCTTTTTTGGAGGTTTTTGCTTTAAACTACCTTTTTATACTTTTACTTTTATACTATTTTCACATATTTGTTATCTATTTTTTCGTATTTTTACTTATTTAATTTTTTTGTGTTCTTTTTAAATTTTCCGCCAATATTTTATCCAGGGCGTGCAACTCAACGGTATAGAATTTTTTCTTATGGTCACAGCATAGAAATTATTCTATTATTCTAAATTATTTCTATGGGTCACAGACTGTAACAGTAACTTTCTTTACAGTATTTCTTTGTATTGAGCTTATGTTCTGTCATAGAATTTCTGTGTAGTGAGTGTGACTCAGTGAAACACAGTTTATTGCATATAAATAGTTTATTGTGGGTATGTTCTGTGTTTGGGTGTGCGGCTAAACAAAATTATAAAAGAAACTTGAACTTTTAATGTTTTTTTTACCTAAAATGCTGTTTTTTTTAACCTAAAATGCTTTTTTTAGTACCTTTTTAGTTACCTATTTTTCAGTTTTTAGTACCTAAATATCCTATCCCTATTCATGACCAATGATCCTTGATTAAAAAAAATTATGTACAAATATGAAAAAAACGATATTTAACAATATCTTGAAAACAAAGGCTAACTGAGCAAAATTATTGTTAGTTGTGCACCAAAATTACCCTAAAAAATTGTTGGTCAAACTGTATCAAAATGGCTGTTAACCATTATTATTGACAGGGTAATAACAAATCAAATATCGGATTTTTTTTCTTGGGTAAGAAATGCCTCAATTTATTTGATATAAAAAATTATCCTTTTAAGCTTTTTCACCAATACAAACTTTTAAATTCTGTCAAAATAAATTAATTAGCTTAATTAATTATTATAATAAATGATAATGGTAAACTTAAAAAAAACAACAGTGTGTGTACGCGCGTTAGTTCCAACATTTTGGAAATTTGTACTCTCCTTATGGTTTTCTACTTGTCAAACCCTTTTATGTTGGAGGTTGTGAAAAAATTGGTTGGTTTATTTTTATTTCTCTTTTATTTTAATGCCCAGCCACTGATTTCTTACAACACAAACATTCAAGCGAATATTAAGTAGAGGGACTACGTTCACGCATTCCAACTCTTACTCATCGAATACCTTCTTCGTGTGCGCACGGAACTTCCGTTGCAACTTATAAAATACGATAAATTAAATTTTGTGGTTTTCGTGTAGGTAATGATGCGTATGCTGCCCATATTCGCGGCGCCAAACACCAGAAGGTCGTCCTGTTGCACACCAAGCTTGGCAAACCAATACCGTCGCAGGAACCGGAAGTGGTCGGCGGTGCCCGTAAGTCCGTCTCGTCGACGCCAAAGATAAACTTTGTCCAATCGGGCGGTCTGGGCATTCCCGCAGGTAACGGCGACTTGAAGGACGACGACGTCGATGACACGCCCGAACCGGACATCCAACCCGTAGGTCAGGACTACATTGAAGAGATCAAGAGCGACGACGGGAAGGTAGTATGTACATTTTTTTACAAATTGTGATTCAACTAACTAACTCTAGCCTGTAAGATGTGTGGTGAGTGTTGTGTAGAAATTTGCATGTTAGTTTGTTGTTGACGCCTTTATAAAATTACCCACAAAAACTAATGAAATGTCATGCTGCAAATGCATAAATGTTGTGAACAACAATATTTGAGAAGAAACATATTAACATCTTAGCAGGTTTTAATTTGCAACCATTTTGACATAATTATGAATATTTTTCATTAAAGTGCATGCAAGATATATATTTGCTTACAGTTAAATCAATAATCACATTGCTTTCAATAAAATCAATATCCACAATTTCTAATTGTATAACATTACAAATTGCTTATTGCATCTTTTTTGCACATTTTGCAAGGAGAATTCCAGTAACAGCCTAAATCTGTTGACTGTCCAGACACCTTGCCAAATTATTGAATAAACATTATTATTTTTATTTTTGATTATCTTTAAATCTTAATTATTTTTTTATTATTCAACAACACATTTCTTTACTATTAATTTGCTCCTATTTTATTACATTTATTATAGGGTTTAAAAGTTAATCTATGCAAACTTTTCCTTTGTTTTTTTTTAAGTGACGTCAGTTTAGCTAACAAAATCTTTTGTGATTAACTTCTGAGCCCTATAAAATATTAGACACAAATTAACGATTAACTATTTTTTAGGTGATCAGTTTCAATTGCAAATTGTGCGAATGTCGTTTCAATGATCCCAATGCCAAAGAAATGCATATGAAGGGCAGAAGACACAGGCTTCAATACAAGAAGAAAGTAAATCCAGATTTGGTTGTCGATGTCAAACCATCTCTGAGACAAAGAAAAATGCAAGAAGAAAAAATGCGTCGCGCTGTAAGTTTTATAATTGAATTAATGTGAAAACGACAATTGTTCCTTTTGTTAAGCTTTGCCATGTTTAAGAAAATTTTTGAGTTGTCGTAGATCATACATAGCAAAAGCCTTCACCCTATTTGGATGAGAGAATAACTCCATTTAGGTTTTGCTCTTTTACACAAAAAACATTTTTGAATATTACACATTGCGTTATCATAACCTATTTTTTCTAGGCTTTGCGTGAGGAATTCTGGTCCAGAAGACATTACAATATGCCTGAAGATGAGGAAGCCATTTATTGGGAAGATCGTAGACGATATGAAGAAGAGTACATGGAAATGATGCGTAGAGGAAATATGGGACCATTCCCAAGAGGAAGGGCTTTCCCAGTGAGTAACTATTTTATATTTAAACAAATATATCCAAAATTTAAAAACCGACAATTTAATGTAAATAGCCTAATGCTTGACATTGTTATTTAGTAATGATGATAAATGTTTTCAATTAGGCTAAAATAATTATCGAAATTATTCGCAGGTCATCTGTATTTTTAAGAGAAAACCTAAGAATTTTTTTATACAATCAATATTATTATTCCTATCAATTTTTGTAGGCTTACAATTATAATGTTGTATATTTTTCCACCTCCATTTTAACTAAAACTTCTTTTTTTAGGGTCCAATGGCAAGAAGGGCCGAATCTAGCGATGACCGTCATGTGATGGCTCGTCACTCAGAAATCTATCCTAAGGAGGAGGAATTGCAGGCCATCCAGCGCATCGTGTCGCACACCGAGCGCGCATTGAAATCGGTTTCCGACCAGCTGGCCGAGGCTAAGCCGAATGAGCAACCGGCCACTGCAGCGGCCGCCGCTGCAGCTGCGCCTGCCGCCGCTTCCGCTGCTGCTGTCCCAGCACCAGGGGGAGCCGCCGCCAAGACAGAAGCCAAGACTGAAACGGAAAAAGCAGGGGAGACGAAAGAAGATGGTCGTGACAATCAACTGTAAGTACCATGTTGTCATTTTTGTGCGGATACACTTTTTTAAACTTAGCCTCCTAAAAATACCCAATTATCTATATTAATACTAGGGCTATTGGACTTGACCAGCTGAACTGGTTAGCAAAGCTAGACAGTCAAATATTTTTTAGCTAAGCCAGCTTGATAGGCTAAAAAGACTAATTTGGCTAATAATTAACTACTTGAGCAATCTTTATAAAAGAAATAAAAAAAACAAAACCTTAATCTGTTTAAACCAATTGCAGTGGTGCAGTGATTTTTAGTATGCGCGAAACGAGATAGAACAGACCTTGTGTGGATTGTGCATATAGTAAAATTTGGGATTTTAACTATAGGGTGTTTTGAAGTGAAAACAAAATCATTTAGGTAAAAGAACTTTTATTTGCTGACAAGTGGGGGAACATTGATTCAAGATAAAAGTATCTTTATTGTAACTCTTTTAAAAAGTAGTATTTTGTCTTTTTTTTTTTAATTTCCACAAAAATTACTTATCAGTTAAATAGTATATGTAAGCAAAGTAGTTTATATGAGCAAATAAAAGTTCTTTTTATCTTGAATGATTTTATGTTTTTCTAACTTTTAAAAATGCTGTAGTTAAAATCCCAAATTTTACTATACGTTAATGTTATTTTTTTGACTATTAAAACATTTATCAAGGATGACTTTTCAGATCAAAAAGTAAAATATAAATAATCTTGATTCTGAAAAAAAAAACACTTTATAATTTTTGTTGTAATGTTTATTAAGACATATTTTTTAATTAAAAACAACTTTTCCTATAAAAATTAAAAAATATAATTAAAACAAAGGTACAACCCTAGACACCACATCTAGGGGTACAACATCCGAAATGTGAATGGTGTAATTTTGACTTTGCATCATAGATGTCTAATTGACAGCTATTTTATTATTATTAGCTGTCAATTTATTAAACAAAAATGCTGCAGCATTGAACAGGACCATAGGAAAGTTGGTCCTTAAGTGAGGTGGCTGCTGATTTAAACTAAAAGTTCCATATTTTATATTAAAAAACGTTGGCATGAACAACATAGAACATGAAGACCTTTCAGACAAGGTGTAGGAAAGGTTTTTAATGAGAATGCACGAAAAGAAACATTAATCCCAGGATCTCTTAAAACTGCTTTAAGGCATTTTAAACAAGCTGGGTTAAAAAAATCGCACTGCTGTTCGCGAGGTTTTTTTTTAACAGACGGAAATAAGCGAAGGCGAGTTCAGTTTGCAAATAAGTTTCTAAATCCCGCTGAAGATGGAAGATTGGAAGTGATAATCTTGAAATTTTGTCAAAAAAAACTTGTGCTTTAAAATTATTTTTTGTAGCCTAATGCTTGACAATATTATTGTAAAAGTGATAATTATTGTTTTCAATTAGGCTTAAATTAAATAAAGACTTTTAAAAAGGCATTACTTAATTAATAAACATGCCTGTTAAAATGATCTGAACATTTTCAAAATTATTTTTGTAATATTTATTGAAATGAAGGTTATGTGTTATAAATTATAATAATAATTGTTTATAATTAGAAAAAATTACTTTAAACCATTATTTACATTTAAGAGCGAGTAATCTTAATCCATAAAGTATCGAAACCTGAAGTGAGCGGTATAGTTTAATAAATGTTTAAAAACAATAATTTAACTCTTTTAGAGAGTAATACTTTTAAATAGGTTTAAATTATGAGTAAGATGAGAGCTTTAAACATTTTATAAAGTAAAATCCTTCATTACAGATTTTCTTTTCAACAAGACCGTGACGCCAACAGGATTTTGAAGGGCGTGATGCGCGTCGGTCACCTCGCCAAGGGTCTCTTGCTGCGTGGCGACACCAACGTGGAGCTGGTCGTGCTCTGCGCAGACAAGCCCACGCTGCAGCTGCTCAAGAAGGTGGTGGACCTGTTGCCGACCTACTTGAAGCAGGTCGCACCAGAGAACACTTACACCGTGACCATGAACGCTCCGGAAGCCGGATTGACCGTGTCCGGAGATGGATTGACCGTTTTAGTTCAGCTGACGAGCCCGGTGATGCGGGAGCAAGGTAATCGCCGGTGTGCCTGATGTGAGGAGCGAATGAGTGTGTACAGTACCGTTGCAGGGTTTAAGCTGGTAGTTTTTTAATACATTTGCCAATCTTTTTTTTATCTTTCAGTTACAGATGTTTTGGAAGAGTTTAGACAAGAAAAAATTGATTAGTTTAATATTGTGATTTTTTAGGAAAACAATGTGTAATGAAGAATGGGCTCACAGGTCAATTTTGGTAATGTTAAGTGTTTTTAAAAGCAAAGACTACCCCTGACTTTTTTATACTTGGTTTTATTTTTTTAAACATAGGTACTTAATTTTTGTTTGGATGTTTTTAATTTTACACAACAAATCGTTATTTTTTGTCTATTTATTCTTTAATATGGCACTATTATTTTTAAGTGTTTGAAAAAAAGCAAACCATAATTTTATTTTGTGGTATCTTATTTTTAATCATTGATTGTGTGCACTGAAAAATAAGTTTCTCTTTTTTATTTATTTTAAGTGGTTTTTATTCTATAATTAACTTTTAACCACAAAAATTTAGGTTATTTTTCATTTGAATATTTAAGTTAAAAGTTTATTATAGATTAATTAATTATGATCACTACCAAAATAATGATAATGAGAAGATTATTGTTCCAAAATTATTTTTATTTTTTTGTGCAAAAACTTGAAGTGTGAACTGACTGTAAAACTAATTTTAATATAAACATTGTAGAATGCTTGTAGTACGATGGGCAGCTTAAACCTTGATCGTTACTAATAAATATTGGACTTTTCAGTTATCATCATAGGCTCAAGTCGGTCTGTCGTATCAGTCGTATCAGAGTATGCGCGACTGATACTGTGAGACCAAAGTGAAGATAGTTGCAAGGACATTCAATACAAATACAAAAAAAAAAATGTAATATGTTGGTTGTCCCACAGCTGGTCCAATACTTATAACTGTACTGTGCTGATTTGGATGTTTAGAGTTGATTTTAGGTGGTGTGGGATAAGGATTTTTGACCAACCGGTGCACACTGGCTATACTCACTCCCCTATCTAAGAAAGCAAATAATTGCAACACAAAAACATTTGAGTTCCATTGTACTTGCAAAGGGTGTGTAAACAGCTTGGCTGGTACGAGTTTAGTGTGGGAGATTTAAATGTTTTTACAAATCTTGAACATTTTTACCCACATTATTGTTTTTCCACTCATCAAACCAGTATTGTCAATGCTGCGATGTCAAAATATCAACCTCCTATATAAAAAAAGTCTGATTACTGCAATTTTTAATAGTTAGAGCTCATACTTAGATAGGCTTATATTTTTCGATATCATAAGTAAAAAAAAGAATAGATTTTTTGAATCATCAGATATTAATCTAGGTATCTTAGGTATATAATTAATTATACTGATCTACACCTAATGCAGAAATTCGATTACAGCTTGGTTGCGGTAATATTTAAAATCAAGTGAATGAAGATATGCCAAAACTACACAACATAACGGATATTATCCGATTCCTATTAAAATATCCTAAATTATCTGCAACGTTTTAAGGTCCAAAAATTGGCAACACTGCATCGAACCCTTTCATTTGATTTCCAAAACAAGGAGTTTGTGCCAATTGGATTGCTTTATTCACGCGTCCCCACTTTTTTCCACACACTGACACAAGACTTACGCGTGACGCTCAATTTCCCAGGAAGCTCGTACCGCCATAGCCATAGCATAGATGCTTAAAAATCAAAAATAGTTTTTCATTAAAGTGTTGCAAATATTTTGGCCAGTTAGTTAGCGGGGTTCGGTATGGTGGTTGTGCACACGATGGTCAAACACCCTTTTTTGATGTCTAGAAGCTGCGAGCGGCGGGTCGGACCGGGATGTTCTCTCACGCGGCAAGTGTCTCCAGGCGCTGGCAGCCCTCAGACATACCAAATGGTTCCAGGTTTGTGTCTCTTCTCACACCGTGCGCACATTTTGCTGTTAATGTTAATTTAATTTCAATAAATCGGTTACGGTCACGTACGTACAGAACTAAAATCTACCGCCTTGATTTTCTTAATATCGATTTTATTCTCAGGCTATTAATAATTTAACAAAAATATTGTTACTTTTTTATATCCTGTAAAGTAATATCGGTGTTCTGTATGTACCCGCGGTTATTATTTGATCAATCCGCGAATTAATTTAAAAAAAAATACCAACTACAAACTTCCACGCGATCTGAGAATGTGAGTTTTACAGTTGTTTTTCCGTGGGAATCGAAGCTTTTGCTTGTCTAGTTAATTAAAATCTCATTTAATTTTACTTTTCTTATTGATATTACGTATTTGTTTGCTTCTATTCCCTTTTTTATTTATATTATTGTGTGATAAATTGTAGTAAACTCAAAAATCAAAATTAAATTTTAATAGTAAAAAAGTTCACATCTCAATCAGCTATTATATGATTTTAATTAATTAATTCTATTTAATTTATTTGGAAGTTCTACATTTAAAGATTAATTATAATCAAGAAAAATTCATATTTATTTTTATTTGACATGTAGAACTTCCATACACATTGAAATATAAACGTGTTTCTAATTTACTTTATTTTAGGCTAGGGCTTTGGGTCTACATTCATGCGTGGTTATTATCAGAATTCTTAGAGATTTATGTCAAAGAGTTCCTACATGGTCACCCCTTAGTTCATGGGTAAGTTATACCTTACTCCCTTAATTATAAATATTGGATTCTAACAATTATCACTCAGGCAATGGAATTGCTAGCCGAAAAAGTGATCTCATCTGTACCCGGACAAGCGCAACTTTCCCCTGGTGAAGCCCTAAGGCGCGTCATGGAGGCTGTTGCCAGCGGCCTTCTTCTTCCGGGAGGACCGGGATTGGGAGATCCCTGCGAGAAGGATAGTCCAGACGCGGCTGCTGCTCTCACGGCGCAACAGCGCGAAGATTTAACCTGCTCTGCGCAATACGCCCTTAGATTGATTGCCTACCGTCAAATTTTCAAGGTTAGTCATTGTTTACAGGGAGAATTTTAGGGATACTTGTCAATCTATTTACTTTCCATAATGGTATTTACACCGTCCAAAAAAAAACGGAAAAATTGAGGGGGAAACAGTCTTGGAAAAATAGCTTTTATAAGAAAAATTGAATTGTTTTGAAAAAAATTACACACATTTTAATAAAAAAAAGCAGTCACCAAACAAAACGTACTTTATAAAAATTAAAAAAGTAAAAATAAAATTAATTGGCTCTTAATTTCATCCTATTATAAATTCAAATTTTCCTGATAGATGGTTTTCTTGGATTATTTCCATTTAAAATTTAATATTAAAAATATCTTTACAATGTTTAAAATCGTTTTGATGTAAGTATGTAACATTGTAATTTATTGTTTAACCAATAAAATCTTAACAATCTTAAACTTTATAGATTACTTATTCTATTCTTTTAATACAAGCTGCAGTTCAAACGCAATATGTGGTTCATTAAAACTAAATCAATATTTTCCAAAAATTCAACTTGAGAAAAATATTTCTTTCAGTTCTTGAAACTAAGGCACATCTTCTAACAGTACCCTGTACGTTTTTAGTTTTATGTAAATTTTCTGCAAAAGTTGCCCTGGGCATTAAAAGTGCATATTGTCCTATACACATAGACTATTAAAACGCGTTTTGTCTTTTTCTATGCCAGTGTTGCCAGATCACACAAAACAATAAGTCACTGGAAAAGTAGGGAGCTTTATAATAATTTTGAAATTGGCGAATTAACAAAGTAAATTAGGGGTGAAGTGGTCAACTCTACACAATTGACATCTTAAAATAAAATTAATGGGATCAGCGAAGCAAAGCGAATTTTAATAATAATTAGGACATTAATGGGACTTCGTTTTTCTTTTTAATAAAGTTCCACTATAAAATGTCTTGTTTATACTATAAAACAGCATGAAGTATCTCTTAATTCCCAACAGTCTGAGTTCTGTCCGCTTCGGACAATCAAAGGGCATTTTGTATCCATATTTTTAAGATTTCTGAATTCTTAAGGGATAAATATTTTTGAGGTTGAGTTATTATTAGAGAACTTTTTCCAAATTTACAGGCATTCTGCTTCAAATATGTAAGTTACTTCACACCAGACTCGTTTTTCCTGAAAGTTATGCAATTTGAACAAAACGCATTTTGGAAGTTTGCTCCTCATTCGCTGTATAACTTTTAAAACTATATTCTTTTATCGTTTAGGTTTTGGGAATGGATCCCTTGCCCACACAACAGAAGTTGTTCAGAAGAGACAGATCTGCACGCAAACGTCGCCGTTCAGGTGGTGAACAAGCCGATTCAGAAAGTAAGTTTAAACACTTGATATATTTTCAATGTATAAATTATTTATTTTTCCTATAGGTGACACTGGTAAAATGGTGAAAACCGAAGGAGAAACGCCAGTTGAGACACCGTTAAAGTAAATTATTAACATAATATCTCTAGATGTAATCTTAAATGGTTTGGAGCCAAGTAATTTTTATTTTGAATATTACAGCAGATATTTGCTTAGTAATGAATTATTGTTCATTTTATTATAATTACACGAGTATTTGCATTGTAGTCTCAATGTATTTTTAGATGTATGTGTGAGTTATCTTCAATAAATATATTCCATGATCAACATTTGCTTTTTTATTTTAATCTAATATATGTAGTTGGAATTACCTGGTAATATGTTACACCTGAGGAACTGTATACACAATAAAACTATCCTTAATATTTAATAAAACGGTCATTTTACGTCAAATCGACCACTTTTAAACTTGACCCCTTTGACTGAAATTTACTACCCCACTAAAAACGTTTCTGTTAATTTAAAAAAACACCCACCCAAAATTTGTTCCTTTTTTTTCAACGCCTATCTTTCTAAAACTCTGGACGTTTTTCAATTACTCGTGAAATTTTTTAGCTTTTTTAGAAAAAAAACAAATTTGACATCTGGGTCAGAATTTCTCAAACGGGCCACCTGAATTAGGTCAAAATTAGTTTTTGTTTGTAGATACATTTTTTTGATAGTATTTTACATCACTAACACAAATCCTAAAGGATTTTGTAAAAAAAAAATTTTCAATTGACATATTCATGATATTAAAAGTCAAAGTTTTTAATAATTAAAAAATAAAAAAATTCATTATGGCTGAACTAATTATCCGATTCCAACGATATAACTAGCGTTGGAATCTTGTTTTGACATAGATTCTTTGTTATTTTTTTCAATTGTCCTATTTTCATTTAGGTCGATTTTTTTTTGTTTTTTTTATACCAAATTCGGAAATAATTGCCTTCTGCGCCAGCTATCGACTTGAGAAAAAAAACACATATACTCCAATCATTTCTCGAAATTATGCTGCTGAGAAAAAAAATGGCCCGCAGGTTGACAAAAAGTTATTCGTCCTTTTGTGGCCGCGCGCGGTGTCAGCTCACGCTCCGAACCGTGTACGCTGTACGCGCTTGTGACGCGACGTCTTACGGTGGTCTGGAACCTGCGGGCCATTTTTTTTCTCAGCAGCATAATTTCGAAAAATGATTGGAGTATATGTGTTTTTTTTTTCGAGTCGATAGCTGGCGCAGAAGCCAATTATTTCCGAATTTGTTATAAAAAAAACAAAAAAAAATCGACCTAAATGAAAATTGTACAATTGAAAAAAATAACAAAGAATCTATGTCAAAACAAGATTCCAACGCTAGTTAAATCGTTGGAATCGGATAATTAGTTTAGCCATAATGATTTTTTTTTATTTTTTAATTACTAAAAACTTTTACTTTTAATATCATGAATATGTCAATTGAAAATTTTTTTTTTACAAAATCCTTTAGGATTTGTGTTAGTGATGTAAAATACTATCGAAAAAATGTATCTACAATCAAAAACTAATTTTGACCTAATTCAGGTGGCCCGTTTGAGAAATTCTGACCCATCTTTTATTTTTTTTCGAGAAAAATTAAAACAAAAAATTTCGTACTTTGTACTTTAAAAAAGAAATTTTTCCCAAAACATTTTATAGAAAAGGTGACTTCCGTATGATATCAGTATAAATAAAATTTGTTAAAATCACGACGTGATGTTCGTATGAATATCACGAATGTTGTCCGGGATTATATTGGTACATATAATATATCTCTATTAATGCTACAATTAGATAACCCTGTTGTAAATGACCGATTAATTCCTGTAGAAACCAATTGAAGTATTGACATAAACAATATCGACTTCGACCATGTCTACAAACATCCTTTGCAAGAAAGACAAAAAAATGATTATAACGGAGTAATTTATTTATTTTTGACGTTTTTTTATTACTTTTTTGTGATAGTAAGTTATATGTATCAATACATATATGTAATTTTATTTCTTTATTATTTTTTGTAACAATAAATTTTTTGTCTCTTCTGTGAAAAATGAATTCTGGTTTTTACCTGGTTATCCTGGATCTAAAATTATTTTTGAATGAAAAATAAACTGGTACAAATCCAAATTTAAAAAAAACCCTGCTGAAAAAGACGGGTAATATCGGATGATTGCGGATAAAAAACCAAGCTAGTTTTATGTCCATTTATATCTGTTTTTATCCGACATATCTGATTTTACCCGGCATGTCGGTTTTTATCTGCAATTGCGGGTATAAATATTATCCGCGAACGTCGGGTTTTATCTATTTAGATCTATGTCTGCTCTTATCTGTTTTCATCCGCAAATACCTGTATTTGAGTTTATATCTGCATTCACCCGGTTTTATCTGATTTTATCCGCAAACATCTACTTTAATCCGCAAACGTCTGCTTTATCCGATTTCACCTGCAAACATCTGCTTTTATACGTGAAGATCTACTTTCATCCGCGAACATCTATTTTAATCCACAAACATCTGTTTTAATCCGCAAACATCTCATTTAGTCCGCAAAAGTCTGATTCATAAGATTTCACCTGCAAACATCTGCTTTTATCCGTAAACATCTATTTTAATCTGCAAATATCTGCTCTTATCCGCAAACATCTGATTTTATATGCAAACATCTGATGTTATCCGCAAACATCTGATTTTATCCGCAAACATCTGATTTTGTCCGAAAACATCTGCTTTTATCCGCAAACATCTGCTTTTATCCGCAAACATCTGATTTTATCTGCAAACATCTTATGTTATCCGCAAACATCTGCATTTATCCGTAAACATCTGGTTTTATCCGCGAACATCTGATTTTATCCGCAAACATCTGATTTTATCCGCAAACATCTGATTTTGTCCGAAAACATCTGCTTTTATCCGCAAACATCTGCTTTTATACGCAAACATCTGATTTTATACGCAAACATCTGATTTTATACGCAAACATCTGATTTTATCCGCAAACATCTGCTTTTATCCGCAAACCTGATTTTATTCGCAAACATCTGATTTTATCCGCAAACCTGATTTTATTCGCAAAGATCTGATTTTATCCGCAAACATCTGCTTTTATCCGCAAACATCTGTTTTAACCTCCAAACATCTGCTTTTATCCGCAAACATCTGATTTTATACGCAAACATCTGATTTTATCCGCAAACATCTGCTTTTATCCGCAAACATCTGATTTTATCCACAAACATCTGCTTTTATCCGCAAACATCTGTTTTAATCTCAAAAAATGTGCTTTTATCCGCAAACATCTATTTTAATTAGAGATGCGACGGAGCCGTGATTTTGCCGGAGGCCGGAGTCAGTAACTTCGGCTGAGAAGCCTCCGGCCGGAGGTGAGAGAATCAACAACAGTCTTCTTCTTCTTCTTCAACATAACCTAATATTTTAAAAGCTTGCCAAGTAAGTAGTTATTACTTTTCTTGTACAACATTAATCAAAAACTAGCCAAATACAAAATGCTCCATTGCCACCCTATAAGACCCGAGATACAAAAATATATTTTTTCTTGGAGAAACTAAAGATACGCAAAATCAGGAACTAGCAAAACAAAAATTATTAGTTGAAAGCTTAAAAGTTCAAAATCAAATCGATCACAATGAAGATAATGATGGAAACGTAAGTGATTCCAGTAATACAAGCAGTAAAACTACAGGCAGCAACACTAGCAGCTCTCCCAATAAAAAAAGAAAAAAATGTTCAATTTTTGATTCCTATAAGGAAGTAGTTCAGGGTTCAGGTTCGAGCTCTAGTTTACAAGTGCAAGTACTTAAAAAAGACAAAAAATCTGAAACACTAGGAAGCATCTCCCAACAAATCGAGTCATATTTAAGGATGCCCCTAAGGCCCAGAGAAGAGGACCCAGTTATATTTTGGAGAGAACATAAAAATTTGTTTCCAGAGCTCTACAAGCTTGTCGTAAGATTTCTCTCGGCCCCTCCTAGTAGTGTCTATAGTGAGCGAACATTCTCGGAGGCCGGAAACATTTATGAGAACAAGCGGAATAGATTGACACCGAAGAATGCTGAAAAATTATTATTTATCCACCACAACTTACCAAAAGTTTGTTACGAATATTAAGTCTATCTTTTCCCTTATAAATTAATAATTTTATTTTTAATTTTAGTTGAAAAATAAATTAAAAGAGAAAATTTAATAATATTCTTTGTTTTTTGTATTTTTTCCCCCTCCGGCAGACCTCCGGTATTTTAAGCCGGAGTCAGTAACTCCGGTAAAAGAGCCGGAGTTAGCCGGAGTCAGTAGGTAGGCCGAACCTCCGTCGCATCTCTAATTTTAATCTGCAAATATCTGCTTTTATCCGCAAACATCTGATTTTATCTGCAAACATCTGATGTTATCCATCTGCATTTATCCGTAAACATCTGGTTTTATCCGCGAACATCTGATTTTATCCGCAAACATCTGATTTTGTCTGAAAAAATCTGATTTTATCCGCAAACATCTGCTTTTATCCGCAAACCTGATTTTATTCGCAAACATCTGATTTTATCCGCAAACATCTGCTTTTATCCGCGAACATCTGTTTTAATCTCCAAACATCTGCTTTTATCCGCAAACATCTGATTTTATATGCAAACATCTGATTTTATCCGCAAACATCTGCTTTTATCCGCAAACATCTGATTTTATCCACAAACATCTGTTTTAATCCGCAAACATCTGATTTTATACGCAAACATCTGATTTTATACGCAAACATCTATTTTAATCTGCAAATGTCTGCTTTTATCCGCAAACATCTGATTTTATCCGCAAACATCTGATGTTATCCGCAAACATCTGATTTTATCTGCAAACATCTGATGTTATCCGTAAACATCTGCATTTATCCGTAAACATCTGGTTTTATCCGCGAACATCTGATTTTATCCGCAAACATCTGATTTTATCCGAAAACATCTGATTTTATCCGCAAACATCTGATGTTATCCGCAAACATCTGATTTTAATCGCAAACATCTGATGTTATCCGCAAACATCTGATTTTAATCGCAAACATC